AAACTACCAGCTGTTCCGTGGGAGAAAGATGAGGTTTTCTGCTCCCATAAAGATTTACAGCCTCGGAAACCCTGTACAGGGTTGCTATGGGTCGGAACCGACTCCACGGCACATAGCAGCAGCAAAGCAAGTTTATTGTAGGATAATATATACTTCTTAAAATCCTGTTCCTTTGTGCTTCTGCATCCTGGTGGAAGTTTTCTAAAGAGTCTCCAATAAAATGGTTGCAATGACTAAAAGCAAAAATGTGAAGCATAGCCCACAGCAGTTCTACTGCAAAGAGGAAGCAGGAAGACAAGCTTAACTACTTCCTAAAGCAAAACTCCCAGGTACCAAGTTGATTCTGGGAGGGTTTTGTTTCGTTTCCTGTGAGACTGAGTAACTGAGGAAGGATTTTCTCTAGATGTGAGAAGCCCAGAAGGGTTCTGGCCTGGCTCAAAACCATACTCGAGTGGCAGGTACAGATGAAAACAATTAGAAGAGGAACAAGGCTCTCTAGGCTTTTGTTTTTTTACTTCATATAAACGCCATCTCTAACCCTTAACATCTCAGTTAATGAACTGATCAAAAAGCTAGCACTCAATCAAACAATTGAGTAATTTCTGGTTTTATAATCTCACAATCAAATCATCTAACACATACAGAATAAATGTGAGCGAGTTCCCCAGTACTGTCACTCTTTGATGATATTGTAGTTGTTGTTAGGTACGTTGAGTCAGTTCTGACTCACAGTAACTCTAAGTACAACAGAACCAAACACTGCCCTGTCCGGTCCTGGGCCAGCCACACAGTTTGTTCTGTTTAAGCCCATTGTTGCTGCCACTCTATCAATCTATCTTGTTGGGGATATTCCTATTTTGAATCCCTTCCAACGTAAAGGGCTCACCTTCCAGCACTATGTTCTGTTGCTATTCCGAAGGTTTTCAGTGACTAACCATTCAGACATAGGCTGCCTCTCCTTCTTCCTACTCTGAGACTGGAAGCTTCACTGGACCCTGCTGGTATTTACAAAACTAGTGGCATAGCTTCCAGCATCCCAGCGACACGTAAGTCCCCACGGTGAGATGTACTGCCAGACGAGGGCGGCATTCTTTTAAGAGCCCTAAAACATTTACCTCTGCTCGGCCTCCATCCCCAGAGCCTTCTTTAGTCTTCTTCTTGCCGCCTTCCTTTCGCTTGTCCTCACCAGCATCTATCTAAATAACCAAAAAAACAAAGCAAATTTCTGATTTTGAAAGATTAAAGAATTTCACCACAGACACAATTTACAATCAAGTCAAGGTCTAAGAGATGAAAATTATCACCATTTGATAATTTAAGTACTCAAACTAATGTATTGCCCGTATTTCCATGATGTTTGCTTCAGGTTTACTTGGGCCACATATGAAGGGGCTTTAAAAATTGTTTTGGGAACAACAACAACATGCAAAGAAAGGAGCTCTGGTAGCGTAGTGGTTATGAATCGGGCTGTGAACCACAAGGTCAGCAGTTCAAACTACCAGCAGTTCTGCGGGAGAAAGATGAGGCGCTCTGCTCCCGTAAAGATTTACAGCCTCGGAAACTCTGTAGGGTTGCTATGAGTCAGAACCAACTTCACGGCACATAACAACATGCAATGAAAGTAGGTCAACCAATGAATAAGGAAGACAGATGAAGAACTGATGTACCTGAATTATGGGGTCTGTGACAAATACTGACAGTATCATGGATAGCCAGAAGAATGTATAAATTTGTCTGGGGAAAAGTATAGCCAAAATGGTCTCTAGAAGAGAGGGGGTGGTAAGACTTTGTCTCATGTACTTTGGACATGTTATCAGGAGGGACGAATCCTGGAGAAGGACATACTTAGTGAGACCCTCAATGAGATGGGCTGCCACAATGTTTCAAACACAGGAGCAATTGTGAGGATGGGACAGGACCAAGCAGTGGTTTGTTCTGTTGTACACAGCATTGCTATGAGTTGGAACCAACTCAACAGGACCTAACAACAGGTTCAGACAGCACTAAATCAAAAGCTACTATAAAAATGTGAAAGGAGCTCTGATAGCATAGTGTTATGAATCGGGTTGCTAACCTCACAGTGAGCAGTTCAAAACTACCAGCTGTTCCACAGGAGAAAGATGAGGCTTTCTGCTCCTGTAAAGATATATACCCTCGGAAACCCTGTACAGGGTCGCAATGGGTTGGAATTGACTCCATGGCTCCTAACAACAACAACATAATAATGTGAACCTCAATTAGAAGCAAGTGAAGTCACGGAAAGAGTTAAAGCAGTAAGTTCTGATGTGGTGCTGAGGATTAATGCACTGGACTGCAAGGTCGGTTTGAACTGCAAAATCAGAGGTTCAAGCTCACCAAGCTGCTCCTCGGAAACATTATACAGGGTCACTATGAGTCAGAATCGACTTGATGGCACTAAACAACACTAGTGGTTTACCACCAGGACAAATTCTGTTCCAAGGGACATTTGGCAATGTCCAGAATCAGTTTTGATTGTCATGCTACTGGCAGCTAGCTAGTGGGTAGAGGCAAGGGATGCTGCTAAACATCCTACAATGTACAAGACAGTCCCCATGACAAAGAGCTCTTGTCCAGACCACTGTATCAACAGTGCTGAGAATGAGAAGGAAACCATGCTCCACATTATGGGGTATTATAATTAGCATCTTTCCAAAAAGTATTACTTACTTCACTGTGATGACTCCAATAGTAACCTCCAATAGCAAATTTCATCACAAAATATTTTACAACTTAAAAAGCACTTCCACCAGTAATCCCATCAGATTCCCATAGCCACCCTGTGCAGTGACTATTATTATTCCAATTTATAAATAGGATTAAATTGGAAAATGTCAGATGACTTTTCTTGGTTCATACAACCTATAAGTGGCAGAAAGAATGTGCACTCAAGTAATGCCAGTGACCAACAAACACTAAGGAGGGAGGGAGGTAACCGTCAGCTGTGAAGGGGGTTTTCATGCAAATGGTCAATGTACTCAACTGCTCAGCCTCTTGGTTGAAAGGCTAGTGGCTCAAGTCCACTGTGAGGTGCCTCAAAAGAAACGCCTGCCAATCTACTTCCAAACAGAAACAACCAATGAAAACCCTATGGAGCAAATTTCAACTCTGACACACATGAGGCAACTGACTTCAGGGCAACTGGTTGGGTTTGGGCTTACAGGAAATAAGGAGGGGTTTTATTTAGTTTTATGAGTGTTTGTGTCTTTGAGTCTTTTTTCATTCATGTTGGAATTGTGTCAGCATTGCAATTCCTCATATTGCTGAGTAATATTCTGCTGTACAGATGTCTTATATCCTATTTATCCATTCATCTGTTGATGACCGTTGGGTCCTTTGAAATGTTACAAAACAACCTACTAATCTGTATACTTAAAAAAAATTAATTTTAAAGTATGACTCCTAATCCCATATGGAGCTAAAACTTTCCCCAAACTCGTATTCTGGATTTAATAAACTTTTAACGTTCATTTATATTTAACAGATGAATAATGAATAACCAAGTACAGAACTGAAAACTGAGTTATGGGATTCCCTATACGCCTTCACAATATGCCTTCACTATAAAATGGAGTCCTCGTGTGGCTCTGTAGGATAAGCACTGGACTATTAACCACAAGGTCTGTAGTTCAAACCCATCAGTCGTTCTGCAGAAACCCTGCACAGAGTCCCTATGAGTTGGAACCAACATGACAGCACTTAACAATCACAACAAACCCTATGAGGTAGTTCTGCTCCATCCAATAGGGTCTCTATAAATTGGAATGAACTAGGAGTCCTGGTCTGGCGCTGCAGGATAATGAACTGGACCGCAAGGTCGCTTTGAACTGCAAGGTCAGCAGTTCAAAACTACCATCAGCTCCTCAGAAACCCTATACAGGGTCACTATGAGTTGGAACCAACTTAACAGCACTTAACAGCATGACGTACTATAGAAGAGAACGACCAGTCAAGTAAACTGGGTAGGAAGAGGGGTAAAACTTAACTGTAGGCGTGTGTGTAGAGATTTAAAGTGGAAACAGAATGCATTAAGTCGTTTTTTCCAATAAAGCATTTTTGGTTTTAGCCATACAGATATATTTGTCAAATGAGCAATAGTAGAGAAGGAGAGAATTAACCTAAGCAATCTGTATTCTAAACACCTCTCCATTTTATAAATGAGAACAGTAGCTCAAAGAAGCAACTCAATGTGCCTTGGTGCCACTGACCTTGCAGTTCAAACAGACCTTATGGTCCAGTGTTTATCATATAGCACCGCACCAGGACTCCAGCTTAAGTAAATTCAAGCCTAGGAACAGAGCTGGCATAGGTCTAACATGGAAATCCAATCTGATTTAGTGCATCTGAGTCAAGTAGTGGATAACAGTATGTCACCGAATGGTTCACAGGGTCTTGATAGCAGGCGGGATAGCACCAGGATCTGAGTACTGGTTTCAAGCCAAGTTACACACTGTTCCTTCTGTGCTTCCTCATTTGTATAATGGGGATAATAATAGAAGTCAGTTAATAGTTATTATGAGGATTTAAAGAGTTAATACACATGGTATTAAAACAGTGTCAGACCTACAGTAGTTGTTGTGTACTGAACTCATAGTGACCCTGTGTATCTTTCCAAAGCTGTAAAGCCTCATCTTTCTCAAGCATAGTAGCTGCTGGATTTAACTGCTGACCTTGCAGTTAGCTGTCCAACGTGTAGCCCACTTTGCCACCAGCACTTCTGGATCTAGAGAAAGCACTCAATGAATATTAGCCATTGGACAATCATCATTATATCCAGATGCCAAGTGCATTCTGACTCACGGGAGACCCCATGCATTTCAGAGGAGAACTGTGCCCTGTAAGCTTTTCAATGGCTGATTTTTTTAAAGCAGATTGGCATGTCTTTCTTTTAAGTCACCTTCAGGTAGACTTGTTAATATCACCTCTTAGAATGACACAGCAGAATATTTATGGGCATGGAAAGTGTGCTGACTGTGTTATTAGCCAAAAGCATAAACGAGTTACAAAACAACAAAGATACTGTTTTAAATTAAAAAGAAAAAAAAGCAGAGGAATGGAAAAAATGTCTATGGCTCACCATCATACATCAGGTTAAATTTAATTTATATTATTTAGAATGTTTTCTTGTTAAGTGCCAGTTGAGTAAGTTCTAACTCATAATGACCCTTAAAGGGTTTCTGAGTCTTTGAATTTTCATGGGAACAGAAAACCTCTTCTTCCTCCAGCAGAGCTGCTAGATGACTTGACCCACGGACCCTGTGGTTTGCAGTCTAGTGCTTGTAATACGGAGCCACTATGCTCCCTTTAGAACATGTTGTTGTTGTTAGTGCCATCCAGACAGTTCAGACTCATAAGGACCTGTATAGGGTTTCGCAGGAGTGGCTGGTGAGTTTGAGCCACCACCCTGTGATTCAAACTGACCTTGAGGTCGAGCACTTATCCTAAGGACTCCTAGAACATATAGGCATCTGTACATTTCTCCCATCCAATTCTCTGAGGTAGTAGCAGCCTCATTTTATTGATGAGAACACTGTGGTTTTTAAGTGATTTGTCCTGTCACAGACAGGACAAGTTTAGGCTGCATTAGTTCTCCGTATCACTTCATACTTGCACTCGGGCAACAGCCTCCTCTTTCCAGCACATCCTCCAAAGGGAGTGTAATCTTTACAAATGCAATGCACATGCTGGTAAGTCACTTTCTGCTTAAAATCTTTCAAGTATAAAATGCAGTTTCAAATATCCTTAGTTGCCTAAGGTCTCCTGGTATGCCTTTTCACTGCCCTCCTACTTGTCTTCACCTGGTGAATTCACACTTACTCCTCCAAGTTCAAAATCCGTTTAATGACCCCTGGCTAAGCCCAGGGAGGACTTCCTTTTTCTGTATTTGTATTCCCACGGTGCTGATCACACTGTGCTATGACTGTTTCGTTTCTCACACAACCGATTGTGACCCTCCAGGTCAAGAACTGGGCCCTATTCATTTTCAAACGTGCAGTGCCTAGCACTGAGTCTGGCAGAATAAATACTTAACATTTGTTCAGTCTAAGTGACAGAAAAAAAAAAAAAAAAAGAGAAAAAAATATCTGGCAGTGTGCAAGTGACCAGGGAGATGTTCCTATGCAGAGGATGACACTAAAGAGGATGAACAAACACGAAGTGATCAGCCTGTGTGAATGTGACAAGGCATGCCTCCAACAGCGGCAGGGGCAAGGGTGAAAACACTTTGGAATCCACCAGTTGGCGTCATTTGCCTTATTTACAAACCACCAGAGCTTGGGCAACTTTTATCAACTTTCAGGAAACCCAGTTTCCCCTTCCTTAAACTGGAGCAGTAACTCCTACTTCCTCCTTTAGCATCAAATAATGGGAGTCTTGGTGTGGTGTTGTGGGATAAAGCAATAGACCCCAAGGTCGGTTTGATCACAAGATCTACTACTGTTCAAACTCACCAGGCGCCCCGTGGACACCCTACACAGGGTCGCTATGAGTCAGAATCTGCTCGACGGCACTGAACAACAACAACGCCGAAAGCAAACGACCCCGAATCCTAGTCTGTCTAGGTTTCTAATTAGACGCGTGGCTCTGAGCAAGTCACTCAAGAGACCAGTTTCCTCATCTGCAAAAACAGGATGGGCAAGGAGATGCCCTCCAAGGCCCCCACCCTGCTCTATGACTGGTTGAATCCCTCTTAGGAGAGGGCTCTGACTTGTTCATGTGGCTCCGCTGTTCCCCCGACTGGATCACCCACTCCCCACAAGGCGAGGTCGCTTCCCGTCTCCGCCCCAAGGGAACAGGCAAGCTGTGTCAACTAGAAGCGACCCCCGGGCCCCATGAGCCTGCTCACCGGCTTCTCTTCGCCTCCCATCTTCCCAGCAGGCTTGCTACCCTTCTCCTCAGACATCCGAGAGCAACGAAGGGATGACGGAACCCAAAAGCCACGGTCTCGATAAGACGAGAGCTGAAGCCGGTCAAAGTAGGGCCCGGGAGCTCATGTACACTGCGCTTGCGCCGCGTGGCACTGAATGGACCAGCTGATGCAATCTGTAGGCGCCCAAACTCCGCCTCCAAACCCGCCAGTGGAAGGATCAGCCAATTGACAACGAGGGAGGGTGGGCCCTCCTTTCCTTAAGCTAATGAAAAAGCTCGAAGGGTGACAGAATCCATCTAAGAAATAAGGAAAGGAACCCGTACGTCTAGCGGGGGATGGACTGTACACTTCCAGAGCTGGAAAGTCGTCCATGCGCGTGCGCTCTTTTCACCACCGCGGGCTTTCTGTTTGCTAGTCAAGGACTTTACCGGCTACCGTAGCGAATAATTGGGGCTCGGCCTAAAACGTCCCAGAAATCATCAGCTACTTGGATATAGTTCTTGGCTTCAAAACGGGTCGGTCCGTGAAGTGCAGGTTTCCTACGGTTCCAGTGCCGCGTGACACGGCGTGATTGCCTTTCCTTGGGAGGCTTGTAGCTGTGAATTGAATCTTCCTCTAGGCAATCCAGTTTTAAGCCCGGAGCCTTTGCACTCGAACATCTTGCACCCGTGTTCCTAATACGTGTAAATGTCACCACGAAGCTATTGTGCACTGGGGAGCCTTTCCCTAACACCCACGAAAATACAATGAAACCTTTTACTTTAAAAATAACCACGTCGACTCTATGGATCCTCAAGCATAGGTCTCAGTGTAAGGATTACAGTTGGTCTTCTTTTACTTTACCAGCTAGTTGAAAATAACTGCTCATTTGAAATTGGAAGGATATTGAGCACTCTTTCAGGTCATGTATCACAGAGTTTTGTAGATTTTACTTTTCTAGATTGAAACACTTAATTTTAAAAACAACAGGTAGATTTTTACCATTTTAAGAAAAAAAAAAAAAAAACTACTTTTGTTACCAGGAGTGCTAATAGTACCTCTACTGATTAAGAATAGTCAGATGGGGCAGGGCTTCCAAGTCGCAAAGGTTTATTACAGGCAAGCAGAGACTGGGTGGGCATAACACAACAGCTTAACACAACACAAAGCCCATTTCCTCAGAACAAAGGCTTTGCTGGAGTTTAAGGTAGGGAAGAGGTATATTTATTCATAGCGATAAGTGTGCTTTTCCAGGAAATGGTTCATTCAGGAGGGGTCTTGCTAAATGGGTGGTGTACAGCATTTCTTCAAGATGGATTCCATCACAAATACTTACAAATACTTGTGGTTAGGTGCTATCGAGTTGGCTCCTACCAATACTGACTATGCACAACAGAAAAAAAACACTGACCAGTCTTGCATCATCCTTACAATGTTATACTTGAGCCCATTGCTGCTGCCACTGCCCATCAATATCATTGGGGGTGAGGAGGACCTCCTCTTTTTTTTTGCTGACTCTACGCTTTTCCAGGAGTTTGGGTGTGGTACTTGCGCCAGACTGCAAAGCCCTTTGAATTGCAAGGTCGGCAGTTCAAGCTCACCAGCTGCTCCTCGGAAACCCTACACAGGGTTGCTATGGGTCGGAACCGACTGGACGGTACTTAACAACAACACTTTTCCAAGTGTGATGTTGTTTCTACAGGAATTGGTCCCTCTTGATAACATGTCCGAAGTAGGATAGATGAAGTTTCTCCATCCTGGCTTGTAAGGAGTATTCTGGCTGTCCTTTTTCCGACACAGATTTGTTTGTTCTTCTATCAGTCCTTGGTACCTTCAGTAGTCTTCTATAACACTATAACTCAAATGCATCAATTTTTCTACAATCTTCCTTATCCATTGTCCAACTTTCACATGCAAATGAAGTGATTGAAAATACCATGGCTTGACAAAACTTATTAGGGGATGTCACATGTGGGTGGTTCTTCAGTAGTCAGATGCCATCTCCTCCCAGGGACTGGTATTCTCCTCTGCCCCCAAAGAAAGGCCATCCTTTAACGTGGGTGAGAGAAAGCTCTTAGGCTGTTGTAACTTAAGTTTCCGTTTCCCAAGCTCTTAGGCTATTAAGTTTCATGTTCCCCAAAAAGAAAGCAATCACCCTATCAGCCCAGACACCCCTTCAGCACCGCTCAGCAACCTATCCAAGACAACCACGACCCCCCACCCCCACCCCTTTACCCACACTGCAGGATAACAGCGCCTGGCCTGTAAAGGAAAGGGGCCTTTGACTCAGGTTAGGAGCCCCTCCCAGGTTTATCTACTAAACCTGTCCTTTATGTTGGGCCACACTCTCTCTTTCTGCCTCCTTCTTTAATAACTATTTTAGCCTTTACTCTGACAGTGGATAAAAGCAGACTCTATTGTTAAGTGCTGTTGAGTTAGTTCTGACCATGTATAGTGTTTCTGAGGAGCAGCTGGTAAGCTTGAACTGCCTATCTTGCAGTTCAAACGGCTTTGAATTCTGGCGCGTTGACCTACAATGCCACACCAGGACTCCACAAGCAGGTAAAATACAGAAATCTTATGAGTGGCCTGTTTACAGTAAGTATATTAAAATAGGCAATGTCTTCAGATGAATGCTCTCATCCTTCAAGAGGCCCCATAGGCTCCCTGTCTTAGGGAGACTTGGAGAGATCAAGTAGCAGATGTTGGGGTTTCGGTCATATAAGGACCTCACATAGGCCCATGGTAGCTGCTCAGGAGGCTTATTCACTGCTGGAAATCTACTCAATGAACCTACACTGAGCATCTACTATACATGTGCCATCCACTGAGCTAGGAGTTGGGGATAGATTAGAAAATCCTGTCCTTGAGACTAAGCCTTTGCTTTCCTAGTAACTCTTTCCAAGAACCTCCCCTCCAGGCTCCCAAGCTTACTGTCTCCTAGTGTGAGACACAGTGCTTGCAACAGTGGGCTCAGACAACACTTGTGAGGCTGACCAGGCAGTGTTTCCTGTTGTGCATAGGGTCACTATCAAAGTGAACGAGGTCCAGGGCACCCAACAACAATTTGAGACACTATTTTTTTAATGGTAAAATTGTATTATTTTAAAGTATGCTCTTAAATTGATACTCTTTTTTAAAAAAATACTGAAGTTGAACTGGACAGCAGTTATATATACCACTTGTCTGTCAGTTTGTCATACTGTGGTGGCTTGTGAGTTGCTGTGATTCTGGAAACTGTGCCAGGAATGACAAATTGAAGAGGAGTAGCGTCATCATCAAAAAGAACGTTTCAAGATCTATCTTGAAGTATAATGCTGTCTGTGATAGGCTAACAGCCATATGCATACAAGGAAGCCCAGTTAATACCACTATTATTCAAATTTATGCACCAACCACTAAAGTCAGTGATGATGAAATTGAAGAATTGTATCAACTTGTTCAGTATGAAAGTGATCAAACATGGAATTAAGATGTATTGATAATTACTGGTGATTGGAATGCAAAAGTTAGAAACAAATAGGATCAATGTTTAGAAAATCTGGCCTTGGTGACTGACTGAGTACCTCCAGTGCCGCATCAGTTGAAAGATTTCAGTTTGTATCATCAATTCCAAGAGGCTTGTTCTTAGTCAGTCTCATCAATGCACCGTGGACTTCTTCCTTCAGTGTCTGTTAAAAGCATGATTTTTTAAATGTCAGCCAATCCGGATTTTTTTCTTGTAAGTCCCTGGATCCTCTGTATTAAAGTTCTGAAATTTTCCTTTTGCTGCAGTGCTTTGGTGAATCTTCACAAAGTACTGCCCAATCCTGGATCATTTTGCTCCTTCAATAAGCCCTTTAATTTTAACAGAAGCTCCACTTGGCTCTTTGACAGGCTTATGTAGATCAGTCTCAGTTCCCAAATTTAAGTTACAATGAGAATCAATAGGATTTCTTTTCTATTGTAAAATAATTGTGCTCATTTGACATTTTTAGGTAAGAAGATTGTTGTGTTGTTACTAAGTGCTGTCAAGTCAGTTGCAACCCATAGCTGAGCTGTATAGGGTTTCTAAGGAGCGACTGGTAAGCTTGAACCACCCATCTTGCCGTTCAAACCGACCCGGCAGTCCAGCGCATTAACCCACAGCACCACACCAGTACTAGAAATCAAAATTCTGAACTTGCAAGAGGCAGAAGAAGAATTAGTGCCTATGCCGATCTGCTCATGATCTTAGATGATCTTCCAGTTATGCAGAAAGAGCTCTGGTAGCTATATGGTTACAGTAGGGCTGCTAACCTCAAGGTTGGCAATTCGGAACTGGCAATCATTCTGTGGTCAAAAGAGCTTGGTACTGGTACAAGAAAGATAGATCAATGGAACAGAATCGAGAATCCAGAAATTAACCCATCTGCATATAGCCAACTGATTTTTGACAGAACAC